AAATCAAGCTTAGCTCCAGGCTAGACATTCCATAGGCTCCTCATCTTTGCAGATGACCAGAAGAGCCACAGAGAAACAAAACTGTGGGCTCATACCAACTCAGGAACTCTGGGCAAGAACTCAGCCTAGCGAGCAAAGCCACATAGTCCTAAGAATATGCTCAGCAATCAATTCATCTGAGGCAGAGCAAGAGCTCCCAATGAGAATATATTTTGGTGCATGACTTTCCAGGTTTTGGTGCTCATTTGCTCTTCTGTTTGAGCCATGTGAAAACAATAATTTATCAACGTTTTATGGATGGAGGAAGGCATCTCTTAATGGCTTACAAGGAACTGGAACCAAGACATCTTTGTCTACGGCAACCCTGCCATAGCTGCACGCAGCTGAAGACTGAGTCAGCAGTGATGCTCTGTGCACCTCGCAAACTGAGCACAGACAAACATTCATCATTACTCAGTTATTTCATCGTGTTGCAGCCAGACTGAGATGCCACATCATTAGGAAGAAACGGATGAGTTTAAGCCCTTAAGGCTCATTTACAGTAAGGAAGTGCAGATTATCCACGCCCTCGAGCAGTCCTCAAACTTCCTCCCCATAGATAGCAGAATGGCCAATTCCATGGCCTCTTCCCACCAGGTCCTTCCCTAGAGGAAGGGAGAGCTGGGATTATCAGAGTAATCCTGGAACTTGCACGTATGGCCACAGGCTCCTGTATAAAAGATTTTGTGTTTTCAAAGTCCCAAGCACAGCTTTCCGCTGCCTATCCAGCAGTAACTGCAGATGGACAGCTAACAACAAGGTGTGTCCTCACAGGATACATCCAACTGCTTTGTGCATCCTGTTATTTCTGCCAAGATCAAAGTTTTACTTTGACATGAGTCACAGGTAGTGGCACTGGCTGCAGTCTCTAACTGGGCCTGGGATTTGCTGGCTCACAGACTAGAGGATCTCCATGTGGGGACCTCAGGAAGTTGGATGTTGGCACGATTAATCACTGCGGGCACACCCAAGAGTCTGGCTCACGGTAAGTAAATACCTTCCCCTAACCACATTCACAGGCCAGGTAAAGAACTATAGCCACAAAGCAGATCCCATGACTCAGATGGGGGTTCAAGTAACTGGGAGCCAATGCACCGCTGGGTCTGCAACTCTAAGGGTCTGTGGCTGAAGGACACAGCCACTGGTGCTTAGTCTGTGCACTCTCCTTCCACAAGCTAACCTAAAAGATAAAAATTGCATCAGCACAAGCAATAGGTCCTTGTAGCTTTTTGGGCAGCCAGCACACACACTACAGCAAGGCAGAGATGTTCAGCTGCTCCTGGACTCTGCATAACAGGCCAAAGCACAGCCCACCATGAGGGTGTACCTAGCAAAGATTCAGCAGTCTCAGCAGTCAGTGGAGGGTATTTGCTTGCCAGATCTTGGTGAGGCAGATAATTAAACAGAAATGCTGCATTTAATCTGCTTCAGTTTGAAACAGATGGGCTATTTGACCAGTATATCCAATGGGACAAGGCATGTGCCATGGTGCAAACTGCGCCCTCGGTTCCTTCTGGAGGGAAACGACTGCTCCCAGCCCAAAGGCTATGCCACAGGCATGGATGGGGGGCATACGGGAGCTTTGTTTCCTACAGATGGGTTGGCATATTTTCCTCGTGCAGAGAAAACCAAAAGAACAGAGAGCTGGTTGTACCTGGTCAGATTGGAGTGTGGATCATCTGAGATCTGGTAAAGCCTCTTGCCTCAGCGTTCTCAGTGAATAACACCGCTCCCCAGGTAGGATTAAGAACTCCTGTCCCTTTCCAGGTTCACTTGCATGCTGTGTCTTAAGCAGCCACAAGGGATTACAGGCAGTCTCAGGTGCCAGTTTGTCTATAAAGGTCACACTATGCAAAAAACCAAGCAAAGACCTGGAAAGGGTAATCAAAGGGGCATGGCTTTCCCCTGGAGACACGCAAACCAGTGGTGCCTGGTCTCTAAAGCTGCATTCTTTGGCACTAATCAAGCCTGCTTGGCATAAACCAGGGTGTGTGGGTTTCTGATTTCCTGGCACCAGCACAGCCAAATCAGAGGGAAGAACTGGAGGCAACAACATGCCAGTGAGTCACCCATCCATGGAAGGACACTAGTTCCCTTTCTGCTCCGTGGGCTGAGAAATGCAGAAAGAGACCTGCAACTCAGCCCTATTTTCTGCTCTTATGAACACTGACTTTGTGCTCAGATATCCTAAGGGCTGGAGAGAACATTTCTTACAGTCCGAAAGGTAAACAACCATGCTGCAAGGAACTTCAGAGAAAAAAAATGCATCCTAAAATTATTATTTTGCAAGGCCGCAGGAAGCAGCAAATGCGACATCTTGTCAGCACCACGTACTCTCCAGAGTGGTACCAAGAACTCAAAAGCACAACACTGGTGCAGAAATCTATTGAAGTAAGTTTCACATACACCTCCTCAGCCACACGGCAGTTACTGCTGAAAACCTCCCCTCCCATTCTTTCAGGCTTTGATTATGTGATCACTTTGATCAACCATGCCCTTCCCAGCTGCTCACCCCTCCTGTTTTCTCTGTGCCAACTCCAGTGCTGGCTTAGCATGCACTAGGCAGATCAGGGAAATCCTGTTTTCTCTGTGCCAACTCCAGTGCTCGCCTAGCATGCACTAGGCAGATCAGGGAAGGGATCCAGTTGGAAGCCTCACAGGAAAAAAAGAAAAAAAAAAAAAAGAAGGGAAAAAAAAAAAGGAGTTGTGAAGGCAGATCTCAGGTGGCTGCAACTCCCAACCCAGCTCAAAGCACACAAACTTTAGCATGCATCCGGAGGAGGTCAAACAGAAACATTAGTTCTGGCAGGAGCCTACACCTATGATGTATTTAAGCAACTACATAACCACGGACTTTAATAAAGGTGACGCTGAACAGCGTAAGGTTATCTTCTGAGAAGGGCAGGCCCACAAGCTTTCAATGCAAAAGCACCTGTGGAAAACCGTCTAAGGAAGAGTTTGACTTCCACACACTGATATTAGACAAAACTTTAGATGTCCAGATTGCAGAAGTTACTTGCTTTGTGTCAGAAAAACCTGCACTTTCTTCCATTCAAGAATTCTCAGAGTCCAAGTTTCCAGGAAGGGCGTGGTTCTTGCATTACACCAACCATGAGGCTCTTGCAACTGTTCCTTTGCAACTAGATAAGATACGGTCTAATGGAAAAGACCTACAGAATCCAGCATGGCAAGTGTGCTGGCCTCTCACAACCTGGTTCTGCACACAGCCAGCCTGCACACTGCTCTGTGTGTGCTACTATAGGGCAAGGATGTTAAAGACCTATTGCAAACCGGAATCCAGGTCTCAGGCTCACCACCACCACCCACTCACCAGCATGTGACCCTGTCCTAAGTGCCCTCTGGGCAGCTTTTAAACCCGCATGCGAGTCATGAGACAAATGAGATTGAATCTTCTCACCTCCTGTGGATGGGGCGGTCACTGGGAGAAAAGGAGACTAACAGAATTGTAAAGTGAGCCTTACACCTAACTAGGAAAGGAGTTCCTGCTTTCCACGTGCAGAGCTTCACTCCTATGGAGCGTGAGCAGAAGTGCAGCTGGTTTTCAGATATTCTTCTTTACTTCTTACCCTAAATGCTGTTGTCTCGTCTGCGTTTCTAGTGTGCATTTTGGAGCAGATCAATAGTTTGGAGAAAGATCTGTGTTGCATTCTGTGATGAGACTGGATAAAGCAGTTTTGCCCTCTAAAAGCTGAAAATTCAACGTAACAGTTAGGTTGGTGCAAAGTCAGGGTAGGCCATTTGGAAAGGACTTAAGTCCAAAACTCCAGAGTGATGACTGTTGGAGGAGTCACAGCTTAACATCCTGCTATTTACTGTCTTATTTTATGTTTATCACACTTTATGGCTGAAATATCATGCTTGAGCCTTGACAAGCTGACTTGACAGATAACAAAGCAACTTCTAATTTTTTTTATGGTATTATCGTTACCACACACCTGTACTAGTAACCTCAGGAACAAAGGGTTAGTTCCAGATAGTCAAAGCTTCGACACAAAATACACTTTCTGCACAGCTTCAGAGACCAAGCAGAGGATAGTATTTCACACTGATGACCTGGGACTTTCCAAATCTAATAATGGTGCAATTAAACAAGTGAGATGTCACAAAAACCAAAGACATTTCAGTAACCATTAGAAAACATACAGTACACTATGTCAACACAGCAGCTATGAATCGCTACATTTAAGTGGGAATGTTTAGGTAAGTTTTTGAAGCCACAGAGCAAACCATCTGTCATCATTCCTGGTTACACTGGCTCTCACAGAGGAGGCTGGACAAAGCTACTGCTTTATTGTTTTTAAGCTCATCTAGAAAAACATCAACACCGCCCTTTACATATACATCTTGGATAGGTAATATATGAAAATATTTTTATATTTTTAGGCATGGTACCTTTCTCCCAAAAGATAACTTAACTGAAAATATGCCACTGAGATCAAACATTGCAGGCAATAATTCAAACTACAGCATTGTCAGGACAGAGTAAAGATACTTTTTACAGAAGGGGGGGTCTAGAAGGTCTTGTTTGAAAAAAACGTGAATAAATACTTCTGAGCCAACTTACCAACTAGCTCCTGAGGATCTCTTTTCTCCAGTTCTGAGAATTCCTGGGAGGAAGAAACAGATTTTAGTCAAGGTATGCTTCCACTCTAAAAAGCTACACTGTCCATTTCTTTAGAAAGTTACACATTACTTCTGAGACCAAAGAATAAAAATTAAGGCTGAAATGCAAGTTATTAGATGATAGGGCGATGTTTGTACCATGGAAAGTCAAAGCCCAACAGGATGCTCTGCTTCCTTTCAAAGCTAGAGTCTAAATTTAATGAGAGAATTAAGGCTTTGTTTCTAGTAGCCCCGGACACTCAGCTCCTTTTGCATTCTGCAAAAAAACTGCTGTACTTGAAGCCTTTCCTCAAAACAGATCAAATGATAGAGTCTTCATTTTTGGTGACCGGCCCTTGGCACTGGCCAAGAGTCAATGCTTTAGAGCACAGCTAGCTAAATACAAGCTGGATCCAGCCCACAGAAAACTACTTAAGCCCTGGGAATACCTACCACAGGGCTTAAGTGTGTTTATGTGCAGTCCCGTAAGCAGGGTCAGCAGGATGCATTCCCCGGAGTAATGTGAAAACAGCTGAAATGCTCTCAGAGCCAGCAGCAGAGCATGGCAGCTTCAGAGCAGCATCTGCTCAGCCTCCCCGCAGACACCCCGGGCTCTGCAGGGTCCCAGGCTGCAGGGGTTTGCCAGGGGTGCGTGGTGCCAGAAATCACTTCTGTAATTGTGCCACTCAGGGCTTAGGCTGATAAACCCTCTCTGAACCAAAACGCCAGGGAGCGTGGTGGGGGTACAGATTTGTATTCCCATTTCAGAAGAATGGTCCCACTGTAAATTCTCTTCTGGCTGCTCTTTCCAGGAGTGACAGAGCCAATCTGCTCTACCAGAAACTCAAGTGCAACCACCACTGACTTGTAATGCTCTGTTTGGAGATCTTCTCAACACAGCTAACCCCTCCTTAGTTACACTAATATAAATTAAGGAAGCTTCAGTTGTGGGAGCACAGCAGATGTTTGCACCAGAGCCTGCTGAGCAGAATGCGTAAGGGTCCTTAGGCAGGATAAGACACTCTTAAATATGCTTTCACCATACTGAGACTAACATTCAAATGTTTTAGTGCTTCTGAGAGACCCCAGGAGAGCCACAAGTGATACCAAATTCAGCACAAATAAAGTTTCTGGAAACAGTATCAGCTGTATCCCAACACTGCCCTCTCCCCCTGCCTCCCTCCCAAAGACCTTTTGTGATTCACTGGACTGTGCGTCCAAAATTCTTCAGTGCCTCCAAACACTGAAGCTATTCATTCAACCTGACACAGACAGAATGCTGCCTCCTTGCTGCTTAGTAACCACCCTCTAAACCCCTCCTTTACTCAATTTCCAACCAGGTGAGAGATGCCTAAGGTGAGGACAAAGCAGCAAGGTCACCAAGCCCGATCCGGGAACAGGCTGTGCCAAAGTCCCTGTGAAAACCCACCAACTTCCAGAGATGCCAAAGCCCTCTGGAAGGAGAAAAACAAATTCTTTGTGTGGCACTAACTGCCACAGGGCACTTCTTATAGCCATTCGTGAAACAAAAAAAAAAACCAATCAAACAAACAAACAAAGACTGTTTCTCTGTAAGTACCTTAGATCACAAAAACACAAGGCTAAAGCTATTTTAGAAAACAACAAAAAAAAAAGGAGTGCATGAAGGAACATGCATCTTCTCAGTGGCCAGCTGGCAAGGCCCCCAGCCCCTTTGAGATGGACCCAGTGTCACAGCTCCAGCCCCTCTGAGCTAATGCACTCGGGGCAGTGCGTTAATACCGGGGTCTTCAGAAAGAACAGCACAAGCAGAAAAAAAAGTTAAAACAGAGGCATGACATTTCAAAACAGAAAACTTATGCAAGGAGAAGGAGCTCTCTTTGTCGAGAGCACGGGACAGGAATCCAGGGAATCCAGGCTGTGCTCTCCACACGCCTACACGGACACGGCATCACGGGGGTGAGCATCAACCACATCCGCGTGGCGCACATGGTGAGCCTCGGCTTGCCATCGGAGAAGTGGGGCAATTTGACGGTAACTAACACAGCTCACAGGAACTCACACCGAACGGACTGCGAGGACAAACTCAGATTAGGATGCAAATGCTGCACGCAGGCTGGAGAAGTTCACAGAGCTCCAGATAGAGGGCAAGTGTGTGTCCGGGCAGCGTGCTGTGACTCACCAGGCAGCAAACACCTGCAGTCCGAGCTGCCTTATTCCCTTCAGGGGAGAACTTGCTAGATGTGTGATTGACAGTATTCCTCACCTTGGTTTGAGACAACAAGCAAAGGTTTGTTGAGGTGAAAGGAGGGAACTGCTTTTGTTCCAACCCCGACTGAGTTACATCCTGCACTCTTACCTTGTTGAAGTTTTAAGTGGACTGAGAGGGAAGAGGAAGAGTTGGGCTATCTCCCTGAGCACCTCTTGATCCTTCCTCTTCCCCAGCCCTGTATTTATTATCCCACTATCCACCCATCTTCTTCTGCCCACTTGTCCTCTCACCATCCAAGAACACAAAGGCAAGAGAAACCCCCAACCCCTATGTGTTGAAAGGATATCTGCTGTATCTCTGCACTTTCCAGAAGCCCATTTTCAAGTCTCCTGCAGCTGTTTGGAGCCAGCACCAAGCGTAAGCACACAATCCTCAGGAAACACGAACCAATATTCCAAGAGATAATTTGATGGCCAAAACCTCTCCTGGTACATACCTTACATTGGAAAAAAATATCTAATATGTCAGATGTTTTCAATAGTATGTTTTATGAATTTCCAGATCATTTGCTCTTCCCAGAAGGAAGTTTGTCCTTTAATTTGTATTCTTCGATCCCACAGGTACAGCACAAGTCTGCCCCGTTAGTAACTGGCTAAACGAAGCCAGTCTTACCAGGCTGCTGCTGTGCTCACGTGGCCCCATCGCCCACACTCCTTTCACCGCAGCCACTCCAGCAAGTCTGGTCTCCACATCCTCAGGCCACAGCCAAGACATCAGAAACCCCAGAGCTACACCAAGCTCAAGAAAACAAGTTCACCAACATATTACAGCCACACCTCACTGCCCAGAGGATATGAATTTTGCTTACTGATGAATTACTGCGTACCTACACCCACCGCTCCATCATTAACGAGCTGAAGACATCAACACAGCTTTTCATTAAGTCGGACTGCTTTCAAGCCTCTTAAATGCCTTCAGAAAACAAAGGGATGACGGACTCCTCCTACGGTGCTTGTTCAGATTTGCTCAGTTTACTGTCTTAACGCTATGGCGAGGCAAGTATCAACAACTTGACCAAAGACGAACAGTTTGGCAGATGTAAGGTTTAAGAAGTCTTGTTCAAACCTCTGAGTATCTACTGAAGATCCAGAACTTAGACACTCTGAAAACCTTCAGTGGAATAATCACCCAACAAGAACTGCCCTACATTCCCTTAGGCTAACTAAAGCCTGGGACACACTTTGAATACAACGAAGTGATTAAAAAAGACAGCATTTAAAAAAAAACCCCAACAAACCCCAAAGCCCCACCATATTATCTGCAGATCTAATCCAATATGAAGTTGAATGAGACAGAATCAGTGAGGTACAATAAATACTGCAAAGTTGCTATCTTTTGATGGTGAAACGGAAGAAATATTTACACACAGACAAGGGATTCCTAAAGGAATTCCAACACATTTAATCAATGGAAAATTTGGAAGTTAACTGAATTTACTGATAATTTACCTAAATCCATTCAGGGCAAGGTGATCTTTCTGTAGATTACTACATCAATACCCACCGTGCTATGTATCAGTATCTCACATGAAGAGTACAAAATCAAGCAGCTGAGTGGTTCCAAGCAGAGGGATTTTATGCCAAATCTCTCCATCAGAGTAAATATATGAAAGGTATTAGAGCCTTCAAGTATCCCAGAGCTACAGGCATCATTTATTGAGTTCATTTCCATTTGGACCCTGATCATTGCAAAATAACAAGGTTAAGACTTCGCTAGTGGCATCTTCAAATACTGCACAGTTTTCACAAGCCTGGCTAATATGGGAGCATGGAAATACTAAACTTGGGCCAAAAAAAAAGTGTCCCTTGTTCATTGTTTTTCTCTAGTAATTTTATCCTATCCGGTATTACACGATGGCCTCTAAGAAAGGCTAGATTGAGTTAAAAAAAAAAAAAAAGCAGTACTGTACTTTATTCATTTCATGCACTCAGCAAGTTGATTTTCTGGCTGCTACTACTTTGCAGCCTGGATCTCACAGGATCAACGGCTTAAGAGCCTAAAGGCAGCCGGCCTTGCTCCAACAGACTCACTGAAAGGAGTCAAGGGATGCCGTGGCGGTTCAGAGCCAAGTTGGAAGAGGACTGAAAGACAATAAGACAAGCAGGAGGCAAACTCCTTTCCCCTGATCTGGAGACTAACAAAGAGCAGCCTCTGAAGAGCACAAACTGCGACAGACAAAGTATTAAAAAAAACCAACAAGAAAAACCCCCCACTTTTTAACCTCTAACTAACCACTAACATACGTCACAATTTCTGTGCTGGTAAGAGCAATCCTGCACATCAGCTCACCGACAGCAGAAAACAGTTATTCTATTACTACTCCTGTGTGCATTGAGGAAAAGGTTTTCCTTTTTTTTTTCTACTTCCCCAAGACAAACGCTTTCTTCAAGCCCTGGGCAAGGCGCCGCTGCCTGCAAGAGCCTGACTGATCAACCCAGCTTGCTGGTTCCGTTTTCATGTATCAGAATCAGTTGAAGAGGAGCAAGCTGAATGGGTGTGTGTGCACACACATAAGGAAAGTACGGCATCCTGGCTTAAGATTTCACCTTGTTGAAGCAAAATATAGACCATCTTTTCAGTCATAGAGTGTTTCCAGTCAGTTACATACAAACCAGTCTCTGCTCAGGTTCCATGGAAAATAAAAACAACCAAACACAGTCCTCACACTGTGGTACAGAGATTAAAGGAAGGAAGCAAAAACAATATGAATCCGAGACTGAAGAATTCAAGTTTGGAAAGTCTTGCCCAGAATGG